GCTAAAAAAGAAATAAATGTATGAGAGTATGATTGCTATAATTTAGCAAGTGTAATTATTCAGGCTTATAATTTTTTTTGGAATTGATTGATAAGGACCTTTAAGAAGAAGAATATTAGAGGATTTTTCTTAATTTCTTTCTATCTATGGTAGGAATATGAGTTCTTAATGCCTAAGATGTGATAAATGAACCTCATATAGTATGAAAAAACTAGATATATTGACAGGTCTCGTGTTGGTGCATTTTAATATTTAGCTCTTGTTTGAGCTCCATAATAATTAAACTTTTGGGAAAAATGTATTTTATAATAATGATTTTTGAAGAATATGTAGTTAAAAAGAAGGAAAAATTTTGAGTTATGTATAATATTATTTTATTGAAGAATGTGATTGAAAACAAAAGAGAGAAAAATAAAATTTAAAATTAATGGAGTCCAAACAAGGGCTTAAACTCGTTCATTGTATTTTCTTCACTAGGTTTCTAAGGTCTTGGAAGTTCGAAAAATTGGAAGTTGAAAAGGTTGGAGGTCTAAAAAATGAAAGGTGAAAATGTGGAAGTTGAATATGTATTGTCATGTAACCTTCTATGTGTTCTATGAAATATTTATAATTTGAGTGGTTTATTTTTACCTATAAATAGGCCCATCCTTGATCGTTCCTTTATTATCACAACAATCACAATTCTCTCATCTTTTCGTCTTACATTCTCGCTCATTTTTCTTTGAGAGATTATTGAGCACAGAAGGGTGTTCTTTTGGTGGAGCACCATGTTTGAACCATACGACGGATAGTTGAGTTATTGTATCCTAGAAAGAGCAGTTACATGAAGTTCCGTTGCATTGTGTTCTACGTTTTGTCAACTGAAGAGGTCTTGAATCTCCTTAAAGAGAGCAACATATGTTTGCCTCAGTTTGTTTGAATTCGTTTACAGGGAGCCCATTTCAAGTGATGGAAGAACAAAGTCCTATTCTACCCCAGTTCTCAAAATCTCCTATATCCTTACTGCAAAGAATCCAAACAAGATCTCTATCGACTATATGAACTAAGAGGAATTTCAAGCTCATCACGGAAAGGTAGAAAAATATAATAGAAATAAATATAATTATCAGTGTTATATCTTGAATTGCCTAGCAGATAATTTTTATGATTATTACAGCACTATTTACTCCTTTGCAAAGAAAATGTGGAAAATTTTATAGAGTATATTGATAATGAGGAAACTGGTACAAAGAAATACTTTGCTAGTCGCTTCTTCCGCTATCAAATAGTGGATAGAAATTTTGTGGTAGAACAAATACAAGTTTTCAAATTATTGTTGCATAGGTTATATCTGAAGGCATCGAAATTTGGGACAATCGTTTTGTGGCGACAATTATTGACAAACTATAGCCATCATGGAGAGAGTTCCAAAAGCCAATGCGTCTCCATAGACTAGGAAGCCAGAGGCCAAGATGCACTGATGACACAAGAAAGAAATGGAAAATTTAGGAATGAAGGTAAATTCAATTGCTACAAATTACCCAATAATCAGGTTCCTAAAAATAGTAAATTTTAGCTAAGAAAGAAAAATATGAAAATTAATAGTAAATATTACAACTAAGGAAACCTAAACCATAAAAATAAAAACCAAGGCCTCCTTCTCAAAATCAAATTTATAATGAATGTTTTGTCTGTGGCAAAAGTTGGTGTATTGCTCAAAATTGCAGGTTCCAAAAACAGTAGCATTTTCCCCAAGCTATTGTAATCGAATAGCCATTTGTGGCAATGGTTATAGACATTAACATGGTACATTATGTTGAAGGGTGGCGGGAAGATTCCGGTGCCAACAAGCATGTAAAGATTGGTTTAAGAACTATACTCCTTTCAAGGAAGAGAAAATCAACATACTTGATGATTCTAGCAAAACCAAGATTGTTGGAAGTGGTGGTGGAATGAAAATTCACCTCTGGGCGTGTGCTAACTTAAAATATGTTTTACACGCTAACATCAATGAGGAAGAATTTGATCTCAACTTTTATTCTTAATAAGGCTGGCTTTTGATAGATTATGAAATCTAATTAATCTGTGATTACCAAAAAGGATTTATTTATTTATTTATTTTTATATATATTTTTTGTAGATAAGGGTTATGCTTGTGATGAAATGTTCAAATTGAATATTGAGAGTAATGAAGTAGCATATACTTCTGTTTATAAACAGAAGATATTTGGAAATCATGAGTAGTTTAGTATTACTTCCGAGATTGACAAATGATTTTTAAAAATACGAAATTTGCAATCAAGCAAAAAATATAAAGAGATCTCATATAAGTGATGAAAGAAATACCGAATTGTTAGAATTAATTGATACTGATATTTGTGAATTTGAAGAATTTTAACTCGTTGAGGAAATAGATATTTCATCACTTTTATTGATGATTTATCAAAATATAATTATGTTTATTTATTGAAAAATAAAAGTGATACTTTTGGTAAATTCAAAATTTTCGTTCAAGAAGTTAAAAATCAATTTAGGAGTCGAGAATATGATTCTATTGATTTTAATTTTTTGTTCAATCTTTGGGAATAAATCATGGATTACTCTACTAAACTCACATGGATATAATGGTGTAGCTAAAAGAAAAAAAAAAAGAAAAAAAAAAGAATTTTGATTGATTTGACTAATGCCATACTTTTTGAGTCAAGTGCTTCTTCAAATCTTTGGGGAGAAGGAGTCTTAACAATATGTTATGTGCAGGGATGGATTTAGGATTGGATCCAAGATCCGGCTAGAAAATTTGAAATCGGGTTACTACGCGAAATTTTTGGGGGGGGGGGGGGGGGGGGGGGCTACAGCCCAACCCAGCTCCTCTAAATCTGTCTCTGGTTACGTGTTGAGGAGGGTGCCCTAGAAGAAAACAAAAATTTCACCTTCTGATCTGTGGAAAAGGTACAAGATGTTGTTGAAATTTTTAATGATTTGGCTATTTAGCTTGCTAACAGATCCTAAAATACGAAAATTGTTTAATCATCACGTGTTTTTCTTAGATATGCAATAAATAGTACAGCCTACAAATTTTTAGACATTGAAAATAATATTATTATTGAGTCAAGTGATGCCATTTTTCATGAAGGGAAATTTCCTTTCAAAATAAAAAATAGTAGGGTAAAAAATTAAGACAAAATATTTTATCAGAACCAATTTCTTCTACTCTTTTCTCAATCAAGAAAATTTTCAAATTGAACCTAAAAGTTGTAAGAGAGCTAAAGTTGAAAATATTTTGGCCTTAACTACTATGTTTTCAATATTGAGGAAATTTCATATTCTTTACAAGAAACTTTACGTGACCAGAACCTGTATTTTGGAAAATATGATGAGATGGATTCTCTAAATTCCAACAATACTTGGAAAATGGTAGAATTACCACCGGATTGTGCAACTATTGGTTGTAAATATGTTCTTAGGAAAAATACAAACCAGATGGTATAGTTTATAAATTTAAGGTTGACTCGTTACTAAATGTTTTAAACAAAAAGTTGACCTTGATTTTTTTCGATATTTTTTCTCTAATGACTAGAATCACATCCAAGTAGAGATCTAAATGAGAAAATTTATATGGATCAACCCGACGCTTTGTGGAGTCTAGGCAAGGAAACAAAGTGTGTAAGTTAAATAAATCCATATATGGCTTAAAATGAGGACCTAATCAATGGCATGAAAAGTTTGATTTCTATATGATTAAAATAATTGTAAAACCAATGTGCATGATAAGTGGATATATTATAGATCTTGTGAAAACTCACATGTCGTTGTTAGTCTCTATGTAAATGAATTGTTGATATTTAGTTCGAATTTCCGTATTATAAATGAGACAAAAAGCATGCTTTGTAACAATTTTGATACGAAAGATCATGGTAA